TATTAATACAAAGACTATGTTTTCTGTTTTTTCCGCAATTATTGGCAGTTTACAAGCTTACATCAAGCTACCGCCGCCTACTGGTCTGGATATTTTCTCACGATTCCTTGAAAAATTACTGACGTTACTGCGACTTCATAATGTTGGAGTTGTTTGTGTTTAATGCGCATTAATTCAGATTCAGTGCCATAAGCGTAAAAATTGATCGGTCTAAAGCCACATTTTGGATCAAAAGGCAAAATTTATCTGGATCATCAGTTAATTCTTCACTATCTTGATTTTCCTCCTCTTCCGACTCCTCCTTGTCATCATCGTCTTCTTTTGAATCATCGTCATCATCATCATCATCTTCCTCATCAACACTAGAGCCAATCTAACACATTGTGGTTACATTTAAAATACAATCAGAAATCATATCCTGTTATGGTCTTGATCTTTTTTGTCAGTCTATACTAATATTAAAAACACAATGAATAAAGAAAACTGCTGCAGGCTGCATTTTAATGTTCTCAGTAATGTTTTATAATCCCTTCAGCTAAACACTTGTCTAAATGAAAATTCATAATGTTGGACTTGCTATCGTTGCATTTTGTACCTTCAGGAAGGTTTTTGGAACCACTCCTCTGCTGCCTTTAGTGTTCTGAGCCAGCCACCATCCATCTGCTGTCTTCCTGATAATCCTCAACACCTCCCCCTTCTGAAACAACAGGCCACAGAACACCATGTAAGTTCACATAACTCACACATTTATAACAAACAGATGAGATCAAACGTAGTTCATCACAGACGTGTCTAAAATTCAGATGTGAGGATAAACCTATCTTCCTAATCTGTTAAGTACTTGATTAAAAATTAACCGGCAATGGAATAAGATTCATTAACAGAAAGGGATATCAAATTGGATAAGTGGAAAAAGATGGATGGATGGATGGATGGATGGATGGACATAACAATTAATAAAGCTTATAAATTACACTACAGTGCACTAGACTACATGCCAATGTCTACCAGACACATCATAGAAATGTTTAAAATTAAAAAGGTATATAGTTTTCAGAAATATGTAAATTACATTTGTTACTTAATTCAGGCCTGCAAGACTTGAAGAAGAAGATTTGGATGGCTAGAGCGCCCTCTTCTGTTGAAACTAAATATTATACAATATCGCTTTTAACATGCAAGGGGAAAGAATCCAAGCTCTAAACGTCCTAAATATATTGCTGACATCAAGGCTGTTTGTGTTTTACCCGAACAGACAGATCTCCTTCCTGCTCTCCTTTGAAATCACTGAGGACCATGTAGATGCGAGCATCTGACTGAGATGGCGGTTTCAAATCTCGCCTCTCATCACCGCCAATGTTGTTATCATTTTCTACATGCTCTTCTTCATTGTCGTTACTGTCTTCGTCATCGTCTTCTTCAGCACTATTTTCACTATCTTCCTTTGAAACATTACTGTGGACCAGGGAATAATTAAGTGAAAAAAGGTATTCTTGGGTCAGATTTGTCATTCAATTGTCATTGAATCTGTCAGATAAACTGATGCTTTGCAATGAAGCATGCAGATTAAATTATTGTGGGGAAGTCAAGGCCCCTGCAGCAAGGACTATAAAGTACATACACAGATCAACAAAAAAAAAAAACTCTACCATCCCAGTTTTCCTTCTTTGCAATTAGCACACATTTCACTAACCCTGCTTCAGTGCTAGGTCCCGGTGGCGACAGCTCCAGAGAGAGAGTTTTTAGACGCTCCACGATGTTTTGCACTCGTCGCTCCTCTTCCTGTTTCCTCTGATCATAATTGCCCACTGGAGCCAGCTCATCACCCTGAAAGATCAAGCACTAGCTTATGATGACTAATTAGCTACACTGCTGTCAACCATGCAACATTTTCCACAAAGATAAATTAATATATCGATTTGCTGCTGTAAGTAATGACAACTGCCTTAATAAAAACAACTAATATTAGTCAAGTAATATCACTGATTACTGCCAATTGGTGGCTTCGAAAGATTATATTAAATCTGTGTATAATAACAGTATTTGAAAAGGTTGAAAAGTTTCTTAAAGATTAGAAAACTAACCTTGCTCAGTTTCTTCAGTGTCCTTAGTGTCTCCTCTGCTGACATTTGCAGTTTTTGGCATCTGTTTGCAAGTAGATATCAAATTTTCAAGCATTCCATAAAGTAGGTGATCGGGGCATGTGGTAGAGAGGGTCATCATGCTGAAATATCCTTGGGCAGACTGATAACGAACTCACTGATGTACCCATTGCAGTGTGAGTATGTTTGTAATTGTTAGAAAATGCTGATACAATCCTGTATGGATTTGTGCGTTACTGGGTGAGTGACACTTTTAGCAGAAAACTCGTTGAGTGCTCAGCTGAGTAGAAAGGCGCTATATAACTACACACAAGGATTTCAATGTTGAAACAGGTGAGGGTGCTCATCTTAAGAGCAAGGAAGGGCACTGCTGGTGCTCTGCCACAGTTGGTTACCTTCGAAAGGCCTCTTCAGTGGATCCAGCCTGGCTCTGGGCATCCTTCTCCAGACTGTCAACCTGTGAAAGTGTTTAAATCAATGTACAGTTAAGCGTTTATATTGATGACTATGTCGGTTTTTATTGTGGTTTACATTGCTAACTCACAGCAGTGCATCATAATGAATTGTTACGAACAGATGCTAATCAATATTTATGCTAGCGCATGCCACGTCGGTAAAGGGCTTATAAGACAAAAGTGTTTAGAGAAACAGTCGAGTTCAAGCCTCGGGATCACATCATTTCGAAAAAGCTCTGGTGGTACATCTGGTGGTACATCTGGTGGTAACTGTATAACGTTCAGTCCGAACAGTTTGGTACAGTCGCACCTAAGTTTAAAGCGTCGTTCTTGAACTGACCTGTTTTTTTATTTCATCCACTTCTCTCTGGGCTAGCTGCAAAGGTCCTCTTCTTTTTAGTGGCATTTATACACTTTTTAGGGTCACACGGTACGTGTGTTAGCTGATCTCCTAGCTTGCTAACTGACGCTAGGCTTCCAACAGTTGCTAAGCAACTGACTTCTTCGATTTTTTTTTTAAATTGTCAATGTAATTTCCGTGCTTATTGTGGGTTTGTTTTAGTCAGCATATTTCGCTTATGTAATATATTTTTAAATATTCGTAAATGAATTAACGCGATATTAATACAAAGACTATGTTTTCTGTTTTTTCCGCAATTATTGGCAGTTTACAAGCTTACATCAAGCTACCGCCGCCTACTGGTCTGGATATTT